TCGGAATGAAATCCTGTAGCAGGGGGACCAGGCCGCCTCTGGAGGGGGCAAGTGGGAATGTACGTGGGACATCAGGCATACTCGTTTTACGGGAAAATAAGCCCCTCGGTGGCAGAGCTGTCACGGAGTGACATAGATTACATTTGGATGGGGAAATGATAAGCTGAAATTCATTTAATGTCCAGAAAAACAAGCGCTGATTACCCAGTGAAGAAAGTATTAGGGAACTCATTAAGAAATATGTTTTTGCCCTTGCGTTGGTCTAAGCATCACAATTAGCATTCACACCCACACAAATGCAGAAAGAGTCTTAAAGGAAACCTCAGAAATCGAGTTCCTCGAGCTTTATGTTCCCATGCCAACTGCGTACACGGGGTATCACTGGGTTCTCAGTTGCATGAAAAATACTCCTGGTTCTGCACTTCCATGCCTTCCTGAAACATGGGGTTGACTCTTTGTGTTCTATGTGTAGAAAATAAGGTCACATTGTTTTAGCTGCTTTTGGGGGGCGTTTTGTGACTGTGCTCCTTCAGACAGACCCTGCCTTTTGTGGGAGTGCCCTTTCAGCTGATCCTTCCTTCCTCGCTCTTCCAAAGTCTTCTTCTGAATGTCCACTTAAACTTTTGCTCATCCTGTCACCTCCTCAGCCTCTATCCCTCTTCTTTTCACTCCAAATATCTTAAGATGATGTCTTGAAGTCTTAATAGTTTTTCCCTTCTCCTTTTGTGATGTGACCTCACCCCTCTATTGAAACCTGTCATTAAAATATTTTTCCCAATTTTTTTTATTTATATATAGTTTTTTTAAAGATTTTTTTTATTTACGTATACAATAACTGGGGTACAGGCTGGAGGTTTGGAGGGGTGAGAGAATTCACTAGAGACAGAGTGGGGAACAGAACAGGCAGACTGACTGAAGTACACAGCTGAGGGGAGCAGCAGGCAAGTCAGGAGAGGTCTGCTGTGCCATGTGGGTAGCTCTCTGGCCGGGATCGAACTTATGCTGCAGTGGCTGCAGACAGTTTCATAGGTTGTGTCTTAACCCCTTGTGCCACCAGGGAGGCCCCTATTTATATATATTTTACATCATTGTTCATTTTTAAACAATGTTTGCATTCCCCCCACCCACCTCAGGTGTAGTCCCCATAGAATTTCCTTCACCAATGCACCCGTGCACCATCACCACAGTCCCCTGTGCTCCTCCCTTCCTCCTCCTCCCCTTCAGGATGTCTCTGGTTTATAATTGTCTGTTTGTGTTTGTTTTGTTGTGTTGTGTTTTGTATTGTTATTATTTTTTCCCCTGATGTCTTATTTGGTTCCCCTATATCCAACAATGCTTAGAAGGGATAATAAACCACGATCAAGTGGGATTTATCCCGGGGCACAAGGATGGTTCAACATACGAAAACCCATCAGTATAATCCAACACATCAACAAAAAGAAAAATAAAAACCATATGATCATATCAATAGATGCTGAGAAAGCATTCGACAAAGTCCAGCATCCATTTATGATGAAGGCCCTTGAAATACCTGGCATAGAAGGACCATACCTTAACATGATAAAAGCCATATATGACAAACCCACAGCCAATATTATTCTCAATGGCAAAAAGCTGAAGGCCTGTTCTTTAAGATCAGGAATAAAATAAGGATGTCCTCTCTGCTCTTCAATATAGTACCTTATTGTCCTAGCCAGGACAATAAGATAAGAGAAAGACATACAAGGAATCCAGATAGGGAAAGAAGAAGTAAAACTGTCTTTAAAATCTTGAGACAAGTGTGTGTTGCCAAGCCAGTGGTTCCGCTGTACTAGGATTCTTTACTGCCCTGCCCCGCTCCCATGGATCTTCCTGCTGCAGCATTTAGAAACATGCCAGGCCTGGACCCCAACTCAAGCCTCTGTCTCTCCTTCCCTGAAGAGTTTCCTTGGACTGTCGCTGGTCCTCCCTTTCTCTTTGTCATTTCCTTGGTCAACCTCATCTCTGGGTTTCAATACAACCTGCACGTCAGTGGTCCCCAGATCTCCATACCATGTCCTCACCTTTAGAATGAATGGTCTCACCACCCACTAAGCACCCCAGCAATGTGTCTGGATGTGCCCTAAGTGGGCATGTTCGTAGCACGTGTTTCAGGTTCTCTGCTAAATTCCTTGGCCAACCTAGAGCGTCATCACCAGGCCAGGCCCCAGTGTCAGGCAAGGTGGCACTTTATCTGGGACTGACTGAGCCTGCGGGACTTGCAGGACCTGGCTGAGGGAGCGAGAGGGCCTAGTGTGTCTGCCCTGGGCAAGGTGAGATGGAGAGGCTGGGATGCAATCAGACCCCAAATCTTGACTTATTCACAGCTCATTTATATGATTCACCCACAGCCAATATTATTCTCAATGGCGAAAAGCCAAAGGCCTTTCCTTTAAGATCAGGAACAAGACAAGGATGTCACTTTCCTCCTCCTCTCAGTTAAGTACAGCATCTATGCAGCCACGGAGATTTTCCTGTTTGCTGCTTGATTCCCAGAAGCCAGAACAGTGCCTGTTGGGAACTCAAGAAACATTTGTCAAATGAAATATGAGATTTGTTAAGTCAATTCTCAGCAGATTAAATAGAGAAATAAATTCCAGCAACTCGAGGTTCTTATAGGGTTAATTTCTACTTCATCAGGGTTTGCTATTCTAGCCCTTTGGTCCTGGAATGTCACTGAGGAGACCCGGGAGTGGAGAGGAGGCCATGGCTTCTCCTACAAGGGTGATCCTGAATTAGCCAAATTATATTGGAAAAATTTGAGAATGTGCATGTCAAGTGTGCACACCCTGTAGCCCCCATCAGGAATTTTGAGATAAATTTGAGATGATGAAGACAATGGCTTTAGCATCAGTATGAGAGTCAACCTTCCAGCCCACAGGGGTGCAGGACCAGAGACTTGCAAAGATCTCTGAGTTCCTTGGCACCTTGAAATCATCCTAGCTTCGTCAAAATCACACCTGAGACTGGGAGAAGAAGGTTTGTGGGTATAGAGCTACCCCAGTGATGCTTGGTGACCTCCATGTGCCCATCCTTGGTGACAGAGACCCTTGCTCAGGATGCAGGGCCAGCCGCTGTGAAGGCATTAACTGGCCTTTCCCGAATTCTGTGCACAACAAAGTGGGGGCCCAGATGGTGATGGGTTTCTTGGGTTTGGGTTTCTTCGTGAGCTTTCAAGGAGCCCTGCCCTATTCTCCCCACTTCACGCTCCATGCAGCCAGTTTGGCGTGGTGATTTAGAACATTTCTTGAAGGGTTTCCTTTACTTCACAACCACCCAGGGACTAACTGTGGCTGCCTGAGTCCTCACTGAGGCAAGTTCTTGACTGAGGTTTCCACATCAGCCCCTAATGGGAGGAGAGTGCAGGGAACTTCTAATCAGAGGGAATTCTGATCCTCTTCATGGGCCAATTGGTAAGGCCTTCAGGAATAAGTGACTTCAGGGAACGTCATTGCTCTGGACTGGCCGGTTCCTTTTCTTTCATTGATCCAAGGTCTCCTCATTCTCTGATTCTATTTTTCCCCTGCCCCTTGTCTCAGGTAATCACCACACTGTGGGATTCACCTGTTCTGCTCCCTACACTGTCTCTGGTGAATCCTCTCACCCCTGACCTCTGGTCTACACCCTAGCTTTTGCATGCATGCATAAATAAAATAAATCTTTTAAAAAAAATAAAAAACAAACACACAAAAGCTCTGTCTTGACTGACATTAACTGGATCAAAAAACAGTTTCACAGTTTTTTGTAGACACCCCGAACTGTGGTCTGTATCCATTTATCTCACCCTCATCGGTGGATGAGAGTAACTGTCTCGCCACAGCCTTGCCAGCTCTGAATACTATCATTTTTTTTTTTATTTATACAAGATCCGGGGTACTGGCCAGATGTGTGGGAGGGTGAGAGGATTCATCAGAGACAGAGCGGGGAGCAGAACAGGTAGATGGACTGAAATATACGGCTGAGGGGAGCAGCGGGCGAGACAGGAGAGGTCTGCTACACCATGTGGGATTCTCGCTGGCTGGCCGGGATCAAACTGGCACTGCAGAGGCTGCGACCAGCTTCACAGTGTAGCGCTCAACCACCTGCGCCACCAGGGAGGCCCTCTGAGTGCTGTCATTTTTCATTAGTCTTTGCCAAATGAGAAGGCAACCATCACTGGTTCAGTTTTATTTCTTAAATCATCCAAGAGACTGAGCTTTAGTTCCTATGTTGTTTGGTCATTTGCATTTCTTCTTTGGGGATTTATCTCTAACCTCTGTGTATTAATGTTTTTTGGTTTCCCCTGGATGAATTCATAAATCAAAGCAGCCAACAGTCAGGCCCGCGTTCATATATTTGTGCCTCTGCACATCATTCTCTTCCTGTTCACCTTCTCCAGGATTCAGCCTGGATTCCATACTCCACAGGAGCCTGCAGATGAAATACTCCTGTTATTTCATCCATATGTATGTGTGTGTATACGCACACATCACACACATATGCACAGATTTGGATATGTGTGCACTTGTATGTATATGTATGTGTATTCAGTGCATATCTGCACTCAATTTATCGTGCGTGTCAGCCTTGAAAGGGGAAGGTTAGGAGCTGTAGCTTTAGCCAGCAGATTATTTTCAAGTCCAGCCAGTAGGAGAACCCGTGAATCAAAAACTATTTTTACCAATTCTTTGTAAGCCCCTCAAAATGAGTCTCTGGGTTCAGCCTAATAGAAAATGGACTGGTCTTTAATGGTGGCCCCTGGCGAGCTTTTAATTATATGTTAGAGAACCCTTCTGGTCCCTGTGCCCTCAGCCAGCCACTTCCCCTGTCAGATGAAAGGGTAGGAGCCAGCACTTTGGTCTTTAAGTGATGTGCTCCTGTGTGCTCCTTCAAAATCCATAATGCTATATTTATGCCACTTCCCAGGCGGTGGGTCTTTTCAGCTAAAAGACGAACATGTGACGAACCTCTTTACCTCCACAGACGTTTGCTTCTATTTCTAGGGTTTGCTCCCAGGACCTGTTCTGGGCAGGAAGGTTTCCTCAGGAAGCAGCCAGGGCCCCCAGACACAGGTCCCCCTGGAAGCATTCACTGAGTTTCTTCCAGAACCAGTGGTAACCGGATTTATGAGGTGCACATTGCGGAGGTAACGCCGCTGTGTTTACGGGCTGCAGGGTTGGGAGACGGTGGGGTGGAGGGAAATGCAAATCTATTTTATGGTAAAGATGACTTATTCAATAAACCAGGTTTATTAAAGCACTCATGATGTTTAATGGCGGAATGTGCTGTAGATCTCCTTCCTCTTGCCCACCCTACCCCTGGTGTCCGCTTTCCTGGCTGTACCCTGTTGATCACTATCACTACTCCTCCTCCTCCTTCCCCCACTTCTTCTTTTTATCTCTTGTTCTCTTATTTGTTCTAGGAAGCAAGGTGGTGGCTGCCAAAGACCAAGCTCTCTCACTGACCTTTGCACCGACCTTTGCATCCATGATGGGCCTTGAGGAATGTCCATCCTTGGAAAGTCTGTCCCTGCCCAGTTATTGATTTAACGTTTTCTCCAGCTTGCACACTTTGACCTTCACTATCTGCTCACTCTACTAGCTCTTTGACCCTGTCCCCAGCTCACTCCATCCCTCCATGAGCATGTTACACACTACTGTTCCCTAAGGATCTGGCATTGGCCTTCCTCATAGGGACTCAGTCTCAAGCTGTCCTGAGTTCAGACACCTGGCAGTCTACTCTGGGGGGAAGACCTTGCTCTTGCACTCTTGTGCCTGCCTTTGCACACTCCTCTCCACTGGTCCAGGTAAGAGATGCTCAAAACTCCTGGCTTCTGTCCTGTGGACACTGCTCCTGTAGCCTTCCCTGTAAGACAAAGACAATTGGGACCATCTGCTTGTGAAGCAAGAAGGTGCTATCCCTTCCGGAAATAGTCACCCAACATACCTTCCTGGATATTTACTATTTGCAGGTGCTGGTGCTAAGGCATCTCTCTGAACTGGCCAGACTCTCTGGCATCAGGGTTCAGCTAGGGCCTGCACTCATGGAGGGGAACCCAGAGTGCAGCAGTTGAGAGGGTGGCTGACACATTGAGGCCTGTAAGCTCTGGGCACCTAGGGCCTGTTGCTCCCGAACTCTGTGCTCCCAGGTTTCCACTCAATCCTGCATGGTCATACATACTGTCAGAGCTACAGAGTTGGTGAGTGGACTGTCCATGGTGTCATCCAGCTGGTGGAAAAGAAGCCAAAGGAATATCTCAGGAAACTTGAAGCACGGTGTTCCAGGTGATTCCAGGTGATTCCAAAAGCCTGAATCAAGGTGTTCCAGGTGATTCCAAAGGCATGAACTTGGACTAGAGTGTGGTTTCAACTCCATATCAGGAAATTATAGCTGTTTAACCAGGAGGCGGGCTGATTTTGGGGATGATGAACTCATTCTGCTAGAGACATTTGAGTGGAAGATGGCACTGTGGGCTTTCAACTGTTGACCCTCATGATGCAGCAATGGTTTATTGGCTGCCTACTGTGTGCCTTGGGCCACTTTAGACTGTGAATGGACAAATCGTGGAGGCCTTTGTTCTCAAGAAATGCCCTAGCTGTTTCCTTCATTTGCTCATCACTATGAAATAGCAAAGGCATCCCTGGCTGGTGTTGTGTAGATGGGGAAACTGAGGTCAGGAAAGTGGGATCTTTCTCTAAGAGCACGTGGCCCTGAGTGCCCGTGATGTGCCAGCCTGTGAAGGACCTCATCACATCATCTCATTCTGTCCTCCTATCAGCCCTGGGATGAAGGTGCAAGCATCAGAGCTTTGGTCCAGCATACACCCACTCTCAAGCTCATCCCGTGATAATTTTCACAAGGACACATTTCAGACATTCTTTCAGTAAACGCTAAGGACTCATAAGCCCAGGGCAGGGAGTAAGCCAGAGGTTAGAAATTGGTGGTGGCTGATGGGGGAGAAAAGTCACTTTTTTTGAGCCTTCTGTGGGCCAGGCAGAATTTTATTTACCAGAGGTCCATGAGAGTTAAGTGTTTTTCTTGCTGTTTTACAAAAGATGAGCTTGTGTTTTGGCGAGGTTAACATCACATAGCTGATAACTGGGGCTCCACTTGTTACCATGACCATTTCTACTCTAATTGCTACTGCTAGTATTAGTTCTACTCTTACTGCTGCTACTGCTAGTAGTACTGCTTGCTACTCCTGTTCTGATTACTAGCACAATCATGACGCTTTACTCCTCCTCCTCCTGCTGTTAATGTCTTTGTGAGATCCCAGACTAAGCCCTTTCAAATCTATTTTGTTTAATTTTCACAACAGTTCAGTGATACTTACAAAAGTCTTTGCCCAAAAGTTGGGGGTATATATATGCAACCCTGATCTATAATAAAAAGATAGGAGGTAGAAATGGTAACTTAGAAGCAATTTCCATGGTCATAAAGTATTCTCATGTGTTTATCTTTAAATTTGGGGTTAGCCTGTTTTTACTGGATGCTTTGCTCAGCCTGGTCTCTCCAGAATTCAAGTCAGGTAAGGTCTCTAGAGGAAGTAACAATTCTTAACCATCACTACTATCAGAAATAAGAGCATGGGCCTCCCTGGTGGGATTAAGACACAATCTATGAAACTATCTGCTGCCGCTGCAGCACAAATTCAATCCCCGGCCAGGGAGATACATACCCACATGGTGCCGCAGACCTCTCCTGACTTGCTCTCTGCTCTCCTCAGCAGTGTATTTCAGTCGATCTGCCTGTTCTGTTCCCCACTCTGTCTCTGGTGAATCTTTTCACCCCCCACACCGCTTGCCTATACCCCAGTTCTTGTATGCATAAATAATCTTAAAAAAATAAAAGAAGAGCAGTGGTTCCTTTTTATTTTTGCATGCTCTTCCCTAGCCAGGTTTTATGTCAGATGCTCTTGAATGCGGTCTATTTTAATTGCACGCTGCTGTGGGGGCAGGTGCTATCACCCCCATTTTACAGATCTGGAAGCTGAGGCTCAGGGAGGGGAAAGAGCAGATCCAAGGTGGCAGCTCTCTGGGGGCCTCTGCCTGAGTAGGAGCTGCTTTATCTGGGTCTTTATCTTTGGCCCCACCCACTCTCTCTGGGGTCCTCCGCAGCAGAATTAAAATGTAAATCAAAACATAATTGGCTTTGTGTGCACAGTTTAGATAAGATTTACTTTTGAAGAATGACTTTGTGTTCTAACCCAGCAGGCCCAGCTCCACCAGGCCCACTTGCACTTAATAATGGCCGTGGAGCAGGGCCATAAATATTGCAAACGATGCAGCTTGAACGGAACGCCCTATGAACCGTAATAAAACCCCCCGTGATTAATTCCAGAACGCGTTCTGTTCATATTAGACCTGCAGTGGCTTCCCTGATGAGATCAATACCGCGTGGCCGAGTGATCCTAATAGAAGTGTTATTATCTTTTAATCTTCGGGAAAATGCCAACTTCTCGAATCCGTCACCAGGCCGCCTGCTTTATTTTCTCGGTGCAACCTTGAAGGCAGTTGTTTTCCCTGAAATGAAGATACATTAGAGTCTTTTCAAGGATTTATCAATAATAGGACCTGGTCCTTCTTTGCAGGGACCGCAGCTAAAAGGCACATTTGTATGCGGCGAGTCAGCGCTGGTCACTGTGACCTTTGCTGTCAGCCGCTATTTTCCCAGCAGACAAATGCCTCTGGAGAGTGAGTGGTAAAGACAGATCTTCCCAGGAGGAAGAGGGGGTGGGGGAGAGAAATAACGCCACCAACAAATAACCTCGGGAGGGCTTTGGGAAGCCAGGCGTGACCCCTCTTGGGACACCAGAGGCAGAAACAGCCTTCCTGGTCTTTCTGCTTCTCCTGCAGGTACGGAACCGCCTGCGAGCTTGGGTGAAAATGAAATGTCACTGCCCTGTAGTGAGTGTCTAGGCAAGACAGAGGGGAGCTGGACACTGGGTGCAGGAGGCAGAGGCTGCGGCTGGGGTGTGATGTCACCGTGGCGAGCTCCGCCCCGGGAGGTGGCAGTTAGTGGCGTGCCCTTGGTAGGTGAAAATGAACCAGCTCATCGGGGAGGATGCTAGAAAGCCTGTAAAGGGTATCAACACCTTCGTGCATGCATCCTGCGCTCTCATGGAGGTGTCACCCATCGGCCAGAGACAGCCACAAAGCAAGGCAACAAGATCCCTGGGCGGTGGGAAGGTGAGGAGGAGCAAAATCTCTTTCTTCTTCTCCTTTTTAAAGCAGCACACACATCTCTGTAAGGCAGCATTGTAGGAACCTTGCTATCACCTGGGCCCACTCCTGTTTTGTGCAGAAGGGGAAACTGAGGCTCATGGTGGTGAAATGACCAAGCAGTGGGGCTCACAGAAGATTATCTGGAGGGCCTTGACTACCGGCTTCTGCCAGGGCTCTGTCACCTCAGCTTGCTCCAGGCTGTGTCTTAGGGACCCAGGCTCCCCCTCTCTACGGACTCCACATTCATCCTGGCTTCTAAGTCCTGCAGTTGATCATTTGTATAGAGCTAACAGACAAAGGAAGGGCGGGCATGGAGCAGATCATGGAGAAATAGGAGGACCAGGGCATATGTACAAGGTACCCTTCTTGCTCATTAGCCAGAGCTCTGACAAGTGGCCTCCCCTAGTCAGGTGGCTGCAGTGTAATCCACCACAAGGAGGGAACATGGAAGTCAGAAGCACTAGCTTGTCATAATGCACATACTCATCTAGAAAATAGGGGTACTAAGTAGCTTCTTAATGGGCCACAGCAGGAAGGGACGATAAGCAAATGAAAGGTAGGAAAGCTTCTGACAGGCAGTAGGAGCTGAATTAATGGTGACCCTACATTCTTACTTCTGCCTGTGCCTCCTGCCTTGGCCTGTGCACTTGAACTCAAGTCTGTGTGTCCCTTCCAACTCTGTGGACTCTGTGGATTTAGTTTTCTGCTGGCTGGGTCCTGCCCTTGAGTGGGATACAGACAAGGTACCTTTTGCCTTCTGACCTGGCACTGATGATGGCCTTGCCTTTCTTGTCCAGTTCACTGGAGACTGTTGCTGAGATTCTCTTCCTGCCTACTGCCCGTCTGTCTTGCTCTGGCTTCCCTCCTTCTGCTTCCCCTATTATCCTGAGACAGACCTGTCATCTGAACCCAACAAGCAAAACACTCCTTGATTACCTTTGTCATAGCTGTTATTTTCCAGAGTCCTAGTGAGCTGCCTGGTGTCCTGTGCCCCTAAGATTAGTACTGACGGTTTTGGGGGAGGGGACCTTTTGGCTCCATGACTTATGACTGTGTGGCCTTATGTAGATGAACTTGCCTCTTTGAACCTCTCTTGGGTCACACAACTCCTGAAAGAGAACAAACAGCACACAGGAGAAAACAAAATCATGGTTTTGAAATTGCTGAACGCACAGCCCAGCGCTGAGCAGGTTGGAGAAAGGGTTTATCTCGGAAGTGGGTAGCATAAGACAGTGCCCCTCAGACTGATATCCCTCATATCCCCTACTTTGGAAGTACTGGTGTTCTAGGAGAGTTAGGTGGTACCCATAGACCACCGCTCCTCAGGGCAGTGCTGGAGGATGTGCAGTCCCAGAGCCTCCTCATTCCCTTTTCCTTAGATTGAGCTGGATCATGCACCCCCTTGCCAGGAGCTCAGACTCAAGGGATATCATAGCAGCTCTGAGCTGCATGAATCTGTCTTCTCTGCTGAACATAGAACTGAGGGAGTATTTTAGTTCTCTGAGATGTTGCTTCCCAGAACCAACCCTCTGCACCCTACAGAGCTTTTAGCGCCAGGCAGATGGGCTCCGAATAACAGCATCAGAGATAAAGGTGAACAGGGCAGGTGAGGACAGTGGTGGGGTGGGGAAATGTAGATTCTTTCCTCATGTGATTGCTCTTTTCTATTGTACTTGGGCTACCTGTTCTTCCTTCAGGAATATGCTTTCACTTTTGTGGCACCGTGAGTTTAGGATGATACTCTCAGAGGAGGCCAGAGTGTACAGATGCGGGGATTTGAGCT